TCCCTCCTGTCTCTCTCTCTCTACCTCCCTCCTTGTCTCTCTCTCTCTCTCCCTCCCTCTCCCCTCCCTCCCTCCTCCTCTCTCCTTCTCCCTCTCTGCATGTGTTTGTATCCACTTTACCAGCACGTATACCCCCCCCCTCCCCACTCCACTCCCCTTCCCTCCATCCACACATCAAAACCTCCACGTTTATTACCAGCTTGCAGTCCCGGCTTGGCAACACCAGGATCCCGCGGAGCATAAAGGAAAAGCGGTCCAGCTTGTTATGAACACGTTTTGGCGACCATGTGATTATTGAGGTTGGCGAGCTTTGTCGTTATAGCGTGCAGCTGCAACGGGCCCTGGACTCCAACATTAATTCCTGGGTATTCAAAGGGTTAAGTTGCTGATTAAGGGGCTTTGGCGAGTCCTATGTTTTGATAGATTGTAACATTTTCCCCCATTATTTATTCCTGGGTTTTATATCGAAGATAGTTAAGGATATACCTATCATGGGTTCTATTGTATTTTCTCTTTGAAGTTCTTAATCAGAGAGTCAAACAATCATTGTAAAAACTGCATTTTAATTTTTAAAAATAGAGTGCACATTCCTTTCTCGTCAATGTATTGTACCAAGTTGAGCAATGAGATGGGAAACGAAACGAAACGTGTTCTTTTAATGCACACACACTCACACGTAGGTATTGTGTGTGTGTGTGTTGTGTGTGTGTGTGTGTGTGTGTGTGTGTGTGTGTGTGTGTGTGTGTGTGTGTGTGTGTGTGTGTGTGTGTGTAACGAATATGTTTTGGGGGCCGCGCTTTCCTCTTTACATAATTTTGTTTGAACAAATTTTCCAAAGCGACAAAACAGCTGACACACAGCCGAGAAGACCCGAAGGAGCCCAAGCCGGGTCAAAGCCGACCCCGAAGCCCCCTTCCCCGATGACTTCTCCTCCCGTCGCGCTTCGGATCTCCCGCTCTCTCCATCCCCATCGCGGTCCTCAGTAGAGCCGCAAATCGTCCGCGGATTCGGAGCCTATCAGAATCGTCATGAGCTGCCCAATCACGTCGGGTCGGACGCCGCCGCCGCCGCCGCTGGGCAGGACAGACAGGTCGAACTGGTTGATGTTCCTGCGCAGGTCGTGCTTGAAGCAGGCGGCGAGGCGGGTCCTCCTCTCGCACTTGACGAAGGCCATGATGCGCTGCAGCTGGGCGGGGATGGGGGACCGAGGCGCTCCACGGGGAGGCAGGTCTGTGGGGGGAAGGGGAGGGGGGGAGGTTATTGGAAAAGGAGGAATGAAGGGGGAAGGGGATGAGGGGGAAAGGGGTGGTGTGGGGAGAAGGAGAAGGGGGAGGGGGAGGTTATTGGAAAATATGAGTGGATGAGGAGGGGGGGAGGGGGGGGAAGGGGGGAGGGAGGTTATTGGAAAATACGAAAATACGAGGTTGGGAAGGGGGAAGGGGGAAGCGGGAGGGGGGGATGTATTGGGAAATAGGTGGGATGAGGGAGGCGCTGTGGGGGGGGCGGAGGGAGGGGGTTGAGGTTATTGGAAAATACGAGGTTGTGGATGAGGGGGGAAAGGGGGAAAGGGGGAAGCGGGAGGGGGGGAGGTTATTGGGAAATAGGGGATGAGGAGGCCTGTGTGGGGGGAGGGGGAGGGGGTTGAGGTTATTGGAAATATGAGGGTGATGAGGGGGAAAGGAGAAGGGGGAAGTGGAGGGGGGGAGGTTATTGGGAAAATAGGAGGTTGTGGATGAGGGAGGTCTGTGGGGGGAAGGGGAGTGGGGGGAGGTTATGGAAATTGAGGGTGGATGAGGAGGTCTGTGGGGGGGAGGGGGGAGAGGTTTTGGAAATTATGAAGTGGATTGAGGGGGGGGGGAAGGCGGGCGAAGCGGGAGGGGGGGGAGGTTATTGGAAAATATGAGGTTGTGGATGAGGGAGGTCTGTTTGGGCGGGAAGGGGGAGGGGAGGGAGGTTTATTGGAAAATATGAAGTGGATGAGGGGGGAAAAGGGGGGAAGGGGAGGGGGAGGTGGAGGGCGTGAGGTTATTGGGAAATAGGAGGTTGTGGATGAGGGAGGTCTGTGGGGGGAAGGGGGAGGTGGGGGAGGTTATTGGAAATATGAGGGTTGATGAGGGAGGTCTGGGGGGGAAGGGGGGGGGAGGTTAATTGGAAAATATGAAGTTGGGGGGAAAGCGGGGAAGGGGGAAGCGGGAGGGCGTTAGGTTATTGGAAAATATGAGATGGAGGTCTGTTGGGGGGAAGGGGGAGGGGAGGGAGGTTATTGGGAAGTGGATGAGGGGGGAAAGGGGGGAAGGGGGGGGAGGTGGAGGGCGTGAGGTTATTTGGGAAATAGGAAGGTTGTGGATGAGGGAGGTCTGTGGGGGAAGGGGGAGGGGGGGGAGGTTATTGGAAATACGGTTGTGGATGAGGTAGGTCTGTGTGGGGAGAAGGAGGAGGGGAGGGGGAGGTTATTCGAGAATATGAGGTGGATGAGGGAGGTCTGTGTGGGGAAGGGGCGGGGTGGAGGTCGTGAGGTTATTGGGAAATTAGGAGGTTGTGGATGAGGGAGGTCTGTGGGGGGGAAAGGGGGAGGGGGGTGAGGTTATGGGAAAAATATGAGGTTGTGGATGTGGTGGTCTGGAGGGGGGGGAGGGGGAGGTCGTGAGGTTATTGGAAAATACGAGGTTGTGGATGAAGAAGATCTGGTGCGGAAACGAGGTAATTAGTGATGGTGAGGGGGGGGTTAAGGGGGGTCATGAGGATGCGTTTGAGGTTATCCTAAAGTAGAATATCTCTGAAGTTATAATAAAGTAGGAATCTCTGAAGTTATAATAAAGTAGGAATCTCTGAAGTTATAATAAAGTAGGAATCTCTGAAGTTATAACAGGAAAGTAGGGAATCTCTGAAGTTATGATAAAGTAGGAATCTTTTGGATATAATAAAATGGAAGACTACAAGGATATGCTCTGGATATTATGAACTATGAGCCTCAGTGGATAAAGTGGATCTGTATAGGGTGGGAGGCAAAGTGATGATTATGAAGAGACAGTGCGCAGAAGGTTATTATAAAACGCTAATTATAAACTATTGCTGATCTATACAAATAGGTGGTAAACGAAGGGGAGGAGGAAGAAGAGGGAAGGAGAAGAGAATAGGAGGGAATAAAAAGGAGGAATAGGGGGAATGAAAAGGAGAGGGAGGGAGAGAGGGACGGAGGGAGGGAAGAGAGAGAGAGAAGAGAGAGGGAGAGAGAGAGAGAGAGAGAGAGAGAGAGAGAGAGAGAGAGAGAGAGAGAGAGAGAGAGAGAGAGAGAGAGAAGAGAGAGAGAGAAAGAGAAAGAGAAAGAGAAGAGAGAGAGGAGAGAGAGAGAGAGAGAGAGAAAGAAAGAAAGAAAGAAAGAAAGAAAGAAAGTAAGAAAGAAAGAAAGAGAGAATTAGAGAATTAGAATGTTTGAGTATTAAAAACTATAGTACGGCTGAACAGCATTTAACGGGAGCTCGTCTAAAGCATTGTCAATGAGGTAGCGCGAACATCAGTCATAATAACAAAACTTAAAAACTCGGAACTGACAACTTATAGACAGGAGTGACTAGTTCTACAGCATTGCCAATGAGGTTGTACGAGTATCAGTCATAATGACCTTAAAAAACTAGTAATTACCAACTTATAGCTTGTTTCTACGTACCGAGAAGTCCCTGCAGAATGACAGTCATAATGACTTAACTTAAAAGGCTAGTAATTTACCAACTTATAGCTTGTTCTACCCACCGAGAAGTCCCTGCAGAATGAAATTCCGGTTATGAGGTCGTTTCGGAGGTTAGGATCAGCAACGACGGTGCTGTAGATGTTCACGGATTGTTGGTAGTTGATGTTGAAGTTGTCGTCGATCTGAAATATATTTTTTTCTTCAAATTAGGTGTTTATTAAGTTAGGGTTATGTGGTTGTGTGTGTGTGTGTGTGTGTGTGTGTGTGTTGTGTTGTGTGTGTGTGTGTGTGTGTGTGTGTGTGTGTGTGTGTGTGTGTGTGGTGTGTGTGTGTGTGTGCTGTGTGTGTGTGTGTGTGTGTTGTGTGTGTGTTGTGTGTGATGTGTGTGTATATGTGTATGTATAGTATGTGTGTGTGTGTGTGTGTGTGTGTGTGTGTGTGTGTGTGTGTGTTGTGTGTGTATGTATGTATGTATGTATGTATATATGTGTGTGTGTGGTAGCAAAGCAGTTGTATTACAAAAACAGAAGCACTCTGAGAGCGGCAACCTCCGCCAAGGCAAACAGACCATTATTCAAGCTTTAAAACGTTGTCCCGGGAACTGATTCAATCACTTTTAAAGAATCCTGGATCCGGATCATGATTCGGATCAACACCAATATTTAATGGAATCTTGGTAAAAATTTAATAAAATCTCTCCATAACATTTTACAGCTAACCAACCAACAAACTAACCCACCAACTAAACCCAAAACATAACCCTCCTTGGGGGAAATAATAAAAAAACATCCCTGCAAACAACAAACAAACTAACCAACCAACTAAACCCAAAACATAACCCTCCTTGGGGGAAAATAAATAAAAAACATCCCTGCAAACCAACAAACAAACTAACCAACCAACTAAAACCCCAAACATAAACCCTCCTTGGGGGGAAATAATAATAAAAACATCCCTACAAACCAACAACAAACTAACCCACCAACTAAACCAAAACATGACCCTCCTCGGGGGGAAATAATAAAAACATCCCTACAAACCAACCAACAAAAACCCACCAACTAAACCCCAAACATAACCCTGGGGGAAATAATAATAAACATCCCTACAAACCAACCAACAAACTAACCAACCAACTAAACCCCCAAACATAACCCTCCTTGGGGAAATAATAATAAAAAACATCCCTACAAACCAACCAAACTAACCCACTAACTAAACCCCAAACATAACCCTCCTTGGGGGAAATAATTAATAAAAAACATCCCTACAAACCAGCCAAGAAAACTAACCCACCAACTAAACCCCAAAC